TTTCTCACAAGTTGTTACTCAAATAATGACAAGATTTGTTCCTTAAATTGTGTTAGTAGCTAAGCAAAAATCTTAAGCTAGTTGTTAGTGTATTCTCACAAGTTGGGTTACCCAATTCAGAAAATGTTTGCATGAAAAATCAGAACTTCAAGACCTCATAAGGACATGCTCTCTACCCTTTTAGCTCCGATTGAAATTGAACTAGCCAATTATATTTCCAATTGTTGTGTAATTTCTGGAGTTAAAAACATGTTTATCTAAAATAATTTTATTTTCGAAATTAGAACTTCAGCATAACTACACATAAATGCTGAATTGTCTTCCAACTTTTAGTCCATAATTCAACTGGCTTGAGAAGCCAAACAGATACACAGTCAGAAAATTTTCAAGACAAGCAGCAATTTGGGAAGAAGAAGGGCAATTTTAGTCATGTTTTTGCTAGAGTAGAACTGACTTTAGTTAACTGTCTGTAAGCATTTATACATTTTAAGATAGATCAGGTGGATATCAAAGAATATCTAATGGTGATGGATAATGAAATGTGATTTTGTCTGGTGTCGTATCTGTGTATTTTCTTGCTGGTGGGATGTTGTAATTAGCATTCCTCTTTCAAAACAGATGAACCAACTTTTTAAGTAGAGGATACAGGATACTTCGTCCATCAGCTATAGCTTCTGTCTTCTTTATCTAGACCATTTTCGAGTATCGGTAAGAATCTGCTATAAGATTATTAATTCGCAGTCATAGCAGAGATTAAGATACAAACATGAACATAATCTAGAGTTAAAGTTTAAGAAAGCGTACCATTCAACTCCATTGACACAGCAACGACAGTGATCGGCGTTAAGTCTGAGACCAACTTCCACGATCCACTAGCTACGCGTTCTCACAGCCCGGAAAACTTGACTATTGGGACATCTACCGTTACCACATATTCAAGAAGCAGAATACGCTAGGGTTTTCTAATGAAAAGGGGGTTGGCCTCTATTTATAAAGAGTGTCTTCCCATCACAGGCCAATTGTTATTGGGCATCACTTATCCACACGCATAGTATTCAATATTAGGCCTTTTATTTATCCACCACTTGGGCCACGTCACTATCCTTTCAGGTTATAACCAATTAATGTAAGTCCAAATTCTAACATTCTCCCACTTGGACGCCAACGTTATTGAGGACAAGAAAATAATTTTAAAACTTTGAGTTTTGAGAAAATCATTTTGAAAAGGATTTTAGACTCTATAGTGGCCGTTTTACTCACATATCCAATAATAGAATGACCCATACAACAATACATCAAGTCTCAATGGAGAACACTAACAATGAATCATAGCAGGCATCACATCATCTCAATGTAAGAATTATATATATGATCACATATGCAAGAATCTTCATTAATATGGATCAAACATGTGTGCTAAACGTATCATCTTCGTGAACAGAGCCACGCCTCTTACAAAGAAAAAATCCTCCAAGTGATATAATAACCATATCGCCTCAGGAGCGCCCAAGTGACACAAAAATCATATCACCTCAGGAGGTTCCCCTTGTGTCTTACCCGGGATAATCAAGGCAACAAGCAGCAAAACTCAAAGATACCATGAGTTTGTGCAATATCCAATTGGAAACAAAAAATATTTAAATTATCATGTTAGTCAACAAGCATAACAAATACAAAATAACACAAGCTTGCATGAATATAAAATTTATTAAAAGCAATATCTCAGTCAGCAATTTCAAAGTAACTCTCAGTGACTAAAGCATATCAAAAGACTCTAAAATACCCATATTTTGAGCATGTTCATTAAACACTACAAGCATAAGACCTTTAGTCAAAGGATCAATCGACATAGATTTTATGTTAATGTTAATATGCTCAATATATATATTACCTTCTTTTACCATATCTTTGATCTTAAGAAATTTAAGGCTAACATGTTTGAGCCTCTTGTCCTCTTGTTATTCTTAGAGAAAAACATAGATGCACTGTTGTCACAGAAAATAGTCACCGGCTTAGATATAAAATTCTCAATTTGCAATTTAGTGAGGAAATTCCTCATCCAGATCGCATGTGAGGTAGTCTCAAAACAAGCAATAAATTCTGCTTCCATCGTGGACGTAGCTGTGATGCTCTATTTTTCACTTCTCCAAGAAATGAAACCTCCAGCCAACATAAAGATATACCTAGAATTTTATTTTATAGTATCTTGACAATCTGTAAATTCTGAATCTGAATATACCAGAAAGTCTAGATCATCAACTTTTCCATACACAAGCATGAAGTCTTTAGTGCGTTGTAGATATCTCATCACTTTCTTTGCAGCCACCCAATGTGCGTACCTAGGATTAGAAGAAAACCATCCCAACATATTAACAACAAATGATATATCAGACCTTGTACAAACATATATATATATATATATATATATATATCAATCAACCAACAACACTTGCATATGACACATCTTTCATGGTTCTCTTTTCAACTTCATTTTTCGGACATTGATCTTTACTAAGTTTATCCTCTTTCACAACGGTGTAACACCAGGTTTACAGTCTTGCATATTGAAAATTTTAAGAACACTTTCAATACGGGAATGTTGTGATAAACGCAACAAACTACGATATATATCCCTTTTAATTTCTATCGTAAAAACCAAAAAAGGCTTCACCAAGATCTTTCATATCAAAAGACCTAGACAAAAATTGTTTGATCTCATTCATCAAGCCCAAATCATTTGTGCCAAGCAGAATGTCATCAACATAGAAAACCATAATAATAAAATTACCATTAGCTATTTTGAGATAAACACATTCATCAAGCTTTTTTTCCACAAATTCGAATTTTGTAATGATTTCATCGAATTTCAAGTACACTGCCTGGAGGTTTGTTTAAGCCTATATATAGATTTGTTAAGCTTGCACACTAGCTAGATGTTATTTACCAGCTTCTTTAAACCCTTCAAGTTGGATCATGTAAACTTCTTTAAGCAAACTCCCATTCAGAAAAGTAGTTTTAACATCCATATGGTGCAACTCTAGATCAAAATTAGCCACGAGAGCCATCACAACTCTAAATGCATCCTTAGATGAAATAGGAGAAAATATTTCTTTATAATCAATGCCTTCTTTCTCAGTGTAACCTTTAGCAACCAACCTTACTTTATAGTATTCTATGTTTCCTTTGGAGTCTCTTTTGGTTTTAAATACTCATTTGCAATCAATAGGCTTAAAACCTACAGGTAATTCAGCTAAGTCTCATACTCTATTGTGTTCCATGGAGCGCATTTCATCTTTCATTGCCTCACGCCATTACTTAGGGACCATGGGATCTACGTTATTGTTTCCATAATTCTACCCCTCATGAATAGGTTGGTTTACACCTTTTCATGTACAACATGTACAAGGATAATGATTTCCTTCTCTATCAACATAATTTCTTTCCACATGAACAATCACAATCACAAACATCATGCTTAAGAAATTTTGCATTAATGGACTCAACAATTCTAGTGCCACGCACAGGACAGAAAAACCTAAAACCTTTAGAGTGATCAGGATAGCCTATAAAGAAATAAGTGGTAGATTTAGGATCGGTTTTTTTTCTTTTCTATGGGTGAATAAATACGAACTTCAGTTGGACATCCCCAAATGTGGTTCAAGCTAGGTTTTCGGGTTGTCCATAGTTCAAAGCGAGTTTTCAAGACAGGTTTTGTAGTAACCTTATTCAGGATATAGATAGCTATTTTTAAGCCTTACGTTAATTGGTTATAGCCTGAATGGATAATGACGTGCCGAAGGGGTGGACAAATAAAAGGCCTAATATTGAATATTATGTGTGTAGATAAGTAAGGCATAATAACAGTTGGTCTGTGATAGGTAGGCACTCTTTATAAATAGAGGTCAATCCCCCTTTCCCTAGCTATTAGACAACCCTAGCTATTCTACCTCTTGAATACGTGGTAACGGTAGATGTCCCATCAGTCGAGTTCTCCGGGCTCGTGAGAGCGCGTATCTAATAGATCGTGAAAGTTGGTCTCATGCTTAATTGCCAATCACTGTCGTTGTCATATCAATGGAGTTCAACGGTACGCTTCCTTAAATTTTAACTCTAGATTATGTTCATGCTTGTGTCTTAATCTCTGCTATAACTGCGAAATAATAATCTTACATATGCCCCCATTGAATTGAGCTAAAGCTGACTAATTAGCATCTATTCTATTTAAATAGAAAAATACTTTTAAGACTTGTTGTTTTATTTTAATTAAAATGCTGGACTACTTCTCTCAGTTGCATTAACAAATGGTAATATATATTCATATGAAGTGATATTTGATTTATATTTACAGTATAATTTTTCGGCAAAGTATGTTTGATCACCCTAGTATATATTGTAGCTCAGCCGCTGCAGGAGTGCCGTATGTTTGGGTCTGGGATGGTGTAGTGGTTCTAAGGTTTACCTTTTTTACAAAATTGATATTTATGTTGTACTATCTTCAAGAAGTGTCAGTCAACTGTATATAATCATAGTTATTGTTTATAAAAAAAATTATTTACACACACATGAATAAAGATTTATTTTGTTGTGAAACAATGTAGGATGACACTATAGTGAATGGTGTATCCACCACCAGCATGAGCCTAAAAAGTTCTCTCAAGTAAAATGGATATGGATCAGTAAGCATGTTGAGATGCAAATCTTGTCCGCTTGTTATGGTGGTAACAAAAGAGAACTATTCTTTATGATTCTTTCTTAAAAGGAGAGAGATTATGTAAATCTACTACTAGTATTATATAAAAATAACATCACTAGATCTGAAAATTGTCTTCTTGCATCATTCCGGTGAGTGCTCCAATTTTGTCGTGCAATCTGATCTGTACAATTCCACTCTTACCACATTTTTCTGCATTTAAACAGACTACTTTTAGACCTCATTAACTCTAATTTATGGAATATATTTCTCTGTATGTAAGTCACAATTAGGAATAAATAAATTCACAAGTAGTAACACTCTTTTTCCTTCTTAAGCATTTCTTCCCTATTCTAGTCCACTGTATACATATAAGCTCTCCCCACCCTTTTCCTTTTTGGACTACCGAAGAGATGAAGGTGTACAAATAACTAGCTATTGCATAATAAAAGAAAGAAATATTTGTGATGATGTCTGGAGAAATCGAAGAGATAGGAGAAGATGGAAAGAGTGTAACAATTAGCAGCAAATTAGATGGTGGAAAAAAATATATCTATATTGCTGTTGGCAAAAATGACTTGCATGTTCTTCAATGGGCACTTGATAATGCCATCTCTCCAGGAGTTCACATATGCCTTGTCCATGTTTTCCCTCCCATAACCTACTTCCATACCCCAGGTAATTAGTTTTACTACTCTCTCCTTTTCAAATTATGTAACACACTTTCCGTATTAATATCCCGTTAAACAAGAAAGACATATTTTTATATTTCAAAATAAACTTTAAACTTTCTATTTACTCACATTACCCGTAATGAAAAGTTTTTATAGTCACACAATTATATAATAGCATGTTTAAAACCAGAAATTTTAATTTTTTTCCCTTAAAATTCATATCGAATCATATTACAACATTCTCTATATGCAATGCTTCGTCTCAACAAAAAAACATAGATTGATACAGGAATTTTTGTAGCTGGTAAGCTTTTCAATTTACCGACATGATTCTCCCCTGATTCATATGACCACCTTTATGTATGCTCCAAGTTGCTAAAAGGCGTGTCTACTTTTCATCAACATACACCAAAAATTCAAAACATGGTGCTTCTGTAGAACACAAAATAAGAATTTTTCTTTGCTTGACAAAGAAGCCTAGGATTTGTGTCACTATTTATCTAGTCTTTTGACAATTAAGAACCTAGTGCAGAGGCGAATATACCTCAATCGCATTCTAATAACTCGATGCGTATTAAACTCTATGGTTCTTGAACTCTTTGAAAAATTTAAGGAGGAAAAAGCAAAAGGACTTGGGACATTCTGACCGAAGTTGCTAAAGTTAAATTTTGTATGATAGTTGGGAAGTTATCAAGAAACCAGTTGAGCCAAGAGCAGGTGAAAGTCTACATCAATGAAGAGAATAACAGGAGGAAAAATCTCTTGGAAAAATACATGTGCCTCTGCAATGATGCCAAAAAGGGCGCAAGTGTATGTATATTGGAAAGTTCACATGACATTCGATCAATTTCCAAATTAGGTTGATTAATTCTGGAATAATTTTGGGTGCAGGTACCTATAGATACTATGCTTGTAGAGAGCAACTCACCATCTAAAGCATTACTCGACCTTATCTCTGTTGTCAACATAACCAGCCTTATAGTTGGAACTAAGCGATCAACTTCCACAGGGTAAATATATTCTACCTCTTTATTACAGATTCAAATTATGTCTCTAATTATATTAGACTAGTGACATTATTCATGAAATATGAAGTACTACTCCACTATATATATAGTTAATAGAATTGAAAAGTGGTCCTGTTGTTTTTGCAATTTCAGGAAGGGACAAGGAATAGGTGATTTTGTACAAAAAAATGCACCAGATTCCTGTGTGGTTACGCTGGTTTGTGCTGGAAAAAGGATTAAGAAGGATCAAGTGCAACAACTAAAAGAGAGTTGTAATTCTTACTCTACTCTTGGATATAGGCATTCCAAAAGGAATTTATTTGAATGCATATGCTTTTCCGGCAAGTTCGATTGAGATGTAGCAAGCAAATAGGTAAAGAGTTTATACTCTAGTTGTAGCGGTGTGAGTCTTTTGATTCTTGAACTATAATTTGGGTCTCTCTGTCCTCTTATGTAATAGAAGAGATAATCGGAAAGAGCTGGGCACCTCTTGTAGCTTTATTCAGTTTTAATAGTGCAATGGTAGCATTGCTAATTGGAATGTAATATCCAAAGTAAAAATATTTATAGTTACGTTTTATTCATATTTTGGCGATACCAAAGCATAGTACTTTAGGACATCTACAACAGAACAATCAATGGCTGGTTATAGCAGAAAAGAAAAGTATATTCAGTTCCAATATACTAATAAGAAATTCCTTTCTTGGAAGTTTATTACAACATTATATATATTAGAGGCTAGAAACTACATATACCAGCAGTCTGCGACTGTATTGTAAAACATCACTATCCGGCAAAAAACAAGATTTGTAATTGTTACATGGATTTTGGTGAAATTGAGTGGACACCTTACAGAAGACAACAACAACAACAACCCAGTATATAATCACACTAGTGGGGTCTGGGGAGGGTAGTGTGTACGCAGACCTTACCCCTACCCTGGGGTAGAGAGGCTGTTTCCGATAGACCCTCGGCTTCCTCCCTCCAAGAACTCCCCACCTTACTCTTGGGGTGACTCAAACTCACCACCTCTTGGTTGGAAGTGGAGGGTGCTTACCACTAGAGCAACCTACTCTTGTAGACACCTTACAGAAGCAAACTAAAATATTGGGATAGAAGAAGTTCCTATAGGCTGTAAGAAAGAACGAAGGAAAAGATGAGTTATATGTAGGCAGCAGGCCCAAGTCCAGTTGTACCCAGCCCAAACCAAAAGGTTTTGTTAGGGTGTAAATTAGTGGTGAAATTGGATTGAAAATTAGTGCTATATACATTCTTGTACTTATAGCTAGCTCATTAACCTAGTGGCAAAAGTAACATCCTTATCCTTGAAGTTTACTGCTTTCTAGAACCATTTTGATGGATATCAAACATCTAAAGATCCTCCTGACCAGTTCAAATGTTACAACAAATCAGAACAGTCCTTACTCAACATGTATCACTTTCAACTATAGTAAGCAATCTAAAGCATAGGTAATATTGCAATTCTTATTTAACTTTTTGTTTTATGATAATCATTCTGCTATTTTGACAAACCACTATTTGTTAAACTAACACTAGTTTTGGTTTACTCAATCAGATATATGTAAATGAAAAATTGTACAAATTGTACGTATCATCTTTTTTGAAAAAGATGTGAGGTTTATGCATTTTTTAGATGCATAGATTTCATATTCTAACCAAGGAAGTGTATTGATATGAATAAGTGCTCGACTACTGTCAAGGAAAATTTTGTATCCAATTTGATCTTATTTTTAACCTTAGTCACTTCTGTTCTTTTACCAGGCTAAGTTTACAGAAATCTGTGTTCAAGGCAGTCATTAGGAGAAAGGGCATGAAACATGGATATGTTTGCTGGTCTTGGAACACAGTACAAATAGCCAGGATAACTATATTACAAAATGAAGTGCAAAGACCGAGAGTTACATTTATTGGAGTAGGTTTTTCCCTGTAGCACAGTGTTCAAGATTAATACACAAAGAGGTCGTTTGGTAGAGTTGTTAGACAAAATAATGCATGCATTAGCTTTGTGTATTAGTAATGCTTTGTTTGGTACACCTTTTCAACCTATGTATAACTAATACAAGCATTAGTTATACACTGTATTTGGTATTATCCTATTTATAGCTAATGCATAGAAAACCATGGCATTAGCAATACAAAGGCTATTAATGCATGCATTAGCATAGTTAAAGACAAAATTATCCTTAGAGTCCCTTTAGTTAAAGAATATGGAGGGCATTTTTGTAAACAATTAAATTTCTTAAAAATTATACAATGCATTTTAATTTTTAATACACCACACCAAACAATGCATAAGAAATAATCTCTGTATAACTAATGCTTGCATTACTAACCAATGCATTACTAATACACCTTATTTAGCATTATTCTTATACGCCCTACCAAACGACCCCAAAGGGACTTGCTTTGCTTAAACGTGCCATATATGAGTCTAGTCAAAACCATGTTCTAATTCAATACTCTATCAAAAGAAAACTGAAGTTTGCTATCCGTTGGTAAATAGGCGAGGAGGACTCATGTGAAGATAAAAGAACCATTCAAAGCTTGGCCAGCAAGCTAGTGGCAGTGGACTTTGCTACACTGGTTTCAGTAACATCACTGTCTCTGCTTTCCGAGTCGCATGCAGAGGGCGGAGGGACATCAACAGCCGGAGAGCAGTTAAAGAATCCATGTGGCTGCACCAACAGAAAAAAAAAAAAAAAAAAACATTACCCAA